AGACTTAACATTGTCCATGGGATTAGCATTGCCCATGTTATTCCTATGTCATAAACTTAGCATTACTCATGTTATCCCTATGCCATATACTTAGCATTATCTATAAATTCTTAATTATTAACACCGGTTAATTTTTTCAATCTCTAAAGTGACTCCAAACAGTTTTCTAATATTCAATTAAGGGCATGTATCCTAACATAAAACGTTGCTACATTAACTTATCTCATTAACTAGGATATATAATTTTATTTTGTAAAGACCATCCAATAGAGCCATATAACGCATTCATATGACGGCCTCTTTATTATAGATTAGTAATGCTACGTCGATGGCAATGATAAGTCTATAGATAATGCTAAGTATATGGCATAGGGATAACATGAGTAATGCTAAGTTTATGACATAGGAATAACATGGGCAATGCTAATCCCATGGACAATGTTAAGTCTATAGCATAGGGATTACATGAGTAATGATATATCAATGGGACAATGGGATAATAAATGAATCTGCCATAATAAATAAAACTAATTTTTGTCAAAAACATTTAAAGTTCTCAAAATAATAATAGTGAAAGTATTCTAAGAATAATATTGAAATATTTAAAATTTTTGATGCATTTTCCGAATTGTGGTTAACGTATAGTATCGCTGTGTGATCCTTGTTTTAAATGCCTTGTGGTTATAAAATACGTTATAATACATAAAGGTAATAATAATCATAATATTATAACGTCAAAACAAAAATCACACAGCGATGCTATACGTTAACCACAATTCGGGAAATGCATCAACAATTTTAAATTTTTCAATACTATTGTTGAAATACTTTCATTATTGTAATTTTGAGAATTTTGAATGTTTTTTACAAGATTTCGTTTTATTTATTATATCAGATTCATTTAGTATATCTTTATAGAAGAAGCATTATCCCATTGCAATAACATTACTTCCATAGACTTAGGATTAGCCATAGGATAAGCATTACATATGTTATCCCTATGCCAGAGACTAAGAATTACCCATAGACTTATCATTGCCATAGACTTAGCATTGCCCATGTTATCCCTAGGTCATAGACTTAGCATTGCCCATGTTATTGTATAACCATAGACTTATCATTGCCATAGACTTAGCATTGCCCATGTTATCCCTAGGTCATAGACTTAGTATTGCCCATGTTAATGTATAGACATAGACTTATGCTGTAATACCATGTTAATTCTCCATAGACTCAATAATCTCATGTTAAATTATAGCCAGAAACTTAAGCTGGAATCGCATGTTAAATGCTAAAGGGTGTGGGCTGGGGGAGGGAGGCCAAACGATCCTATTAACTACATTATTCATACTGAATTGTGGTTTAAAATAGTTTATTAATTAGTTAATCGTTGTTATTGAGTGAAAACGATAAAAATGTCATCAAATCCGTTATTTCAAATAAAAAGGTTTGAACATATTTAAAGGAATTGTTATCTATAAGTGGTTTGTTAGAATTTCAACATGATTAATTTTTGTTTTTATTAAATATTTTACATTATCAACATACTGCATAACATTTATTATTATTATAAATTTATAATTGAATTTAATGTTTAAAATTATATATAATTACTCGCTTTTAAGATTGAATACAACATTGGTTGATAATTGTTGAGACACGGTTACAATCGTAATGTTTTAAGTAAGTGTTATATTATTTATAACTTAACTATAATTGAATTTAAAAATGTATAAAATTTTAAGTCAAATTATTAAAATAATTTTGTGGTCATTAATTGCTAATGTTATTGACGGTTCTATTGTTAATTAGTAATTTTTAATTGCAATTTTGTTTTTTATAAATATTGTGAAAATAATTAATTGTATTGAATTATTATTTAGTATGTAAACAATTTTTAATACAATTTATATGAAAAATTTAAACTTAAAGTTAATGATAACTTTATTGAAATACAACTCTTAATTGTTGAGTAAAAACCAAAACCCTAAACCAATTTGAACCCTTTAGGGTGCGGGTTTGATTTTGAGAGATTGATGACCCGAATCATACCCTAAACGTAAAAGGAAATTTTAGTAAGACGTTCATGAATTTATACAACTGTTGTTTTGCAACACATATTACACGGCTGAATAGTGAAGGCACCTATTTATCACTTATAATGTTTTTAATGCTTAATTATCAAGTTGTTTGAGATAAATTTTGTTTTTGATTTACATAAAAGGGCGTTCAGTTAAAATGTTTATTTTGCGATTCACCGGGAACAATGAGAGTGATAATATTGTTACTTCACACATACATGTAAATTTATATAGATTAAAGTCGGAAAATTTTACAATCAAATAACTATTTATTGAGAAAATGGATGATTAGCGAGACCCATGTTCACAACCTATTGTCTTAGTTATATGTGGTTAAGGGTTGTAACATAAACATGTCATAGTGTTATAATAACTAAGAACAATCATTATTTGATTGACCGTTTTTACATGACCAGTAAACAAAATATCCAACCTTTCATTAAAATATAATCGAGCGGTTTTTTGAATAACTTTTAAACAAAATAAGTTAAATCAAATGTGTAAATTGCATAATGATGTTCCATATTTTTAATATTTATGTATAATATTTTATGAAAATCATGCGATTAAAAAACTTTGTGTGTCATCTTGAAATGTTATAATTTTAACTTAGTTGAAAGGGGAGGGTATGCTATTCTTTAGAAAACATGTCAAAAAGTAATATTAACTAAGAAACATCTTTACTGGAATTCCGGATTTAACAGAATAAGTTAACAAACTGTAGCAAATTTTGCATGTTAATCTATGGGATTAAAAATAAAATTATATTTTATGCTGAACGGCCTTTTAATACATTTATTTTATATATTATTATATTTATGCTTAAATTCGAACAAATACTGGGAGGGAGAGGGACACACGTAGACATGTATTGGATTAAATGTTGATTGATTGACATATGATATAAAACATCTTATGACAAAAATACAATTATTTTATATTCTGTAAATTACTCACAAAAATTGCTATGTAGATAAGTATAACTTGTTAATAATAATCATTTTAATGGTTGTTATCTTCTTGTAATTACGTCTACATAATTTTACAAATAAATCATAAGACCTAAAATTAATCATTATTGAAGGTTAGTCATTATCGGTTTTTATTGTATGTGCTCAAACATTTATATAATTTTATTTCGTATTGAGTTTAAGTTAGAAATCGGTTTTCAATTATTGTTGACACAACTATAAAATTGTTAAAATTAAAGCAACTTAATGTAAGTTTTATATTATATTTATATTAATATAACACTAATTGTAATCACAATTCTTAAATCAGATATTTATCAAAATTACATGCTAAAAATGTTAAGTTCATTTTGCTTACCTGCAATCCTTGTGTTTAAATGCTATGTTTAAATATGGCAAAAGTAATATTCTTATTAACCACAACTTAAATATGAATAATGTAGTTTATGGGAAAGTTAGTGTGAAATTGGCCTTTATAGAATTAATATTAGCAATATTAATTGTAACATATCTCACCGTTTAATGTTTTGTCTTCAATAGCCAAATGTGATTAAGCTATAACATTAAACTTTTCAATATTTGTTATTATAATATAATCATAACTAAAACCGGCTGTAAATGCAATTCAGAGGTACTAAATGGCGGTCCAAAAACTAGTACAAGAATACCGGCAACTGATGTCGCACCCGGTATTGTTCGGGTCAGTGGCGCAAACAGATAACCTTCTTGTATGGGCGTTGAATATAAACGGACCGGAAAGCACGCCATATGAGGGCGGAGTCTTTGTAGTGGAGTTAGTGTTCCCGGGCACGTACCCCAATCGTCCGCCTCAGGTCACTTTTAAAACCAAAATTTTTCACGCAAACGTCCGGTCCAATGGTGACGTATGCACATCGTTGCTACGCGATTGGCTTTCAACCGATTCAGTGGTCACAATTATGTTGGCGCTAAGAAATATGATGTCTCAACCCAACCGTAACAGCTCTTATAACGGTCAGGGCCTCACTGACAAACAGTACAACCAAAAGGCCTGCGAATATACACGACAATACGCTAAAATGCGATAAAGGTTTTCGTGGTTTTGGGAACATTGTTGAAATAAACATTTTGTATTAAATTTTAAATAATGTTTTATTTATTTGGTAATAATTTATAATTAAATTACATTTAAGCATCATGTAATATAAAATTTGATTTTTCATGGGATTAACGAATACATGTTTTACGATACTTTATAATGTGGCTATTCTTTTAGGTTTAACACTAAACAATGTCTATGGCCCATAGTCTATGGGCAGAACTGAGCAAATAATTTGTTTAGTTTCTATATGATAATAAACACTACATGTTAATTATGCCCCAAATGCCCGATTATGCACACACTGCTCATCTATGTCTATGGGTATTGTTTTTTCAGTCTATAGATCTATTCTTAGTTATTATTTTATTTAAAACAAGGATTGCACGTCAAACTTCTATCATTCTAATTCTGTAGATTAACCAATATGTGAATATTTTGGATGAGTTAAAATATTTTTAATTAAATTCCATGGATTTTGAAAAATCAAATACTGAGTTAATTTTTTAATTTTTTGAAACATCCAAGATTATTAAAAAATCATCCACAAATTCTTGATCTATACATGTTTTAAATAGTATAATTTTGAAATGCTTTTCAATGCAAATATAATGCTTTACAATCGTATACAAAATATATCGTATACAGATAGTCTGACCAAATGTCCAAAAATGGCCTAAATTATCCCTGAATTAGATGGCCTGTCCAGAATTTTAAATATATTATAAATATTAAGTCTATGGAGACGTCTATAATAATATAGCTAAAATAAACCGAATATCCAGACTAATAAGGCTGATTTTTGCTCAAAATACAGAATTGTGATAATCGGTCTATTATTGTATAATGATTTTCATAGATGAGAATAGTAAAACATTAACTGTATTTCTTAATTCAATATGGTTGGATTGCGGAGAATAGGAGCCTATATGATTACAATAAACTACATTTATATCTGAATTAAAGTTAAAAATTTTCAATATAAATATGGATTTTATTTTAATAAAACATAAGTTGTGTTTTACAAATGTTTGCGTGGTATCTAATCAGTAAGTTTTTGTGTTTTTGATACAATTTCAGTATCAACTATATATCATATTAAGTATATAATGATTATTATTAAATTATGGTAACAATAGTAATTTATGATTATTTTTAGATAAAATGACCTGGTCGTTTGTATCCGTATACTGGGATTTAGACACCTGTCCACTCCCTCCAAACACAGAACTTAGAATAATCAAGGACATATTTCATAAGTTACTAATACAGGAGAATCGAATTGAAAAAGATATGGTTTTGTACAAATACAGTAAATATATAAATCTAGCTCGATCGACGGATCAAAACACATATATCGCATTCATTGGATCTAATATTGAGTTTTTGCAAACCTTCACAAATTGGACTTTATCTAATCATAAAACAGAGTTTATAGCGATTACATCTGATTTATTATTAATTGAATTCATCGAACAATTGAGTCATAAAATATTACCACGAGTAACTCTAATTCACGGACATACAGTAGACATTACACCAGCAACTTTCAACAATGCCAGAATTATTGAACTTAATAAGTTTTACAAACATTTTACTAAATCCACCGACCCTTCGATACTATTTGACACAAATTCACAAACTAGTTCTGACAATGAACCCATGAATGGTATAATGATACTTTATATACAATGATATAAAACAACATTTTAATTGTGAATTGTGTTTATAGTAGATAATGAAGTCTGTAATGATAATACATTGCAACAAAGTCAAGTATGTTTAATTTGCATTTTTGCATATAGTTAATATAACATTAATTATATATTTTTTATGAGCAATTTTTCGCACAGTCTGACTACTTGGAATTATTGGATCAAACAAAAAGGTTTTACATTTTATATTAAATATTTATATTATATTAGATTTAATGATTTTGTTAAAATGTAAGTAATAATTTTTGAATCAAATGCATATATTTGGGAATTTTATTGTGAAAATATTAATCTTACCAAAAAGTGTATAACATTAATGGATATGAAGTGATAAATTAAAGAGAAATTTAATTTTTAAAATTTTTTAATTTTACTTAAAACAATAATTTATGTTAAATTAGATCTCAAGACTTAAAACCTGATCAGACAATAAAAGCAAGTAATTCCAGTGCCAATCAGAATGACTTATGCAACATTCATGGTATTTCGTATTAAATATAGAGTGTTAAAAATTATTCTCTTTTATCAAATGATTTATAACGAATTTTCAGATACACAACAATCAACTAATAATATCGATAAGAAGGATAAAAATGCCGGGCAATCAAGTGCTAAAACGAAAGTATATGAGCCAACGTCCGCAACAACGACTGCCAATACTGAAACTAAAAGAACAGACTATTGCAATAAATGGTTATACGATGCAAGAATGTTGTTAAATGCAATCAAGTTTGTATTTTAATTTATTTATTACTAAATTATTATATTAAATCATTTGTGAACCGATAGAGGGGTTGTTACGCAATAAAACATTTTTAATAAATATTTACTGGGTTAATTTAAGAGATCAATTTGATCAAAATATCTAGGGCCACTTACGAGTGAAGTATTGCATTTACAAGTGACCGATTTTGGCCATTTTAATGATGGCGCGCATACCGTGTATAGTTTTAAAAACTGATGTCTCAAAGCATTGAACAATCTGGTTAATAGGATCGTTCGGCAACTCCCTCCTTTTTCCGCCTCTCCCACATTATGAAATTTAAGATGGAATTGCATGTTAATCTTATGACATAGATTCAACATGGGTAATGATAATTCTATAGAGCTTTTTTCATAAACTTAACATGAGATAATGTTATCCTATGGATAATGTTAATTTTATGGAACCAATGTTAAGTCATTAGGGAAATTCTTCAACGTGGGTTTTAATAAAAATACAACTAAGTCTATGACATGGGTCTAACATGGATAATGCTAAATCTATGGCAAAGTTAATCTTATACGTAATGTTAAGTCTATGGGACAAATGCTAATCCTATAAACAGTGCTAATTATACACATCACCCGAATTGTTGTTAAAGTATAGCATCGTTGTGTGATCTTTGTTTATCAAAAATATAATATTTTTAATTGTTAAAACTAAACAATTTATCCAATTTTGATGAGTATTTTTAACCACAATTTAGTATAAATAATGTGGTTCATAGGATCGTTCGGTCTCTCCCCTGCCGTTGAGTATTTTATAGACGAACAGAATATTTGACCGCCTCATTACTTACATTATGAATATTATACATGAATTCAATCACATTTTTGTATTTGCAGAGAAATTCCCAATATTTAAGAGGGAAGATATTGGGAAAATAATAATTTTTTAACATTATAAATAACGAATTGTTACGTTTTAAACTGCTGGCAGTGTTGACCAGTGTTCAAATGAATGTGTGATAGGTTCGGGTGCTATGCGGCAACCGGTTTAAATTATATCCACCGTATTGACACAAACAAAACAATTACGCACTTTATTTGAACTAAACATACATTGAATTGAATTACATTAATGGCGATATGCATCAGAGCTCTGAGTTTAGGATTACATATATTTTAATATAATTAACATAAGTATTGGTAAGGAATTAATATAATATTGAATATAATAATTAGCAGTAATTAGATATATGTGTAAAAATGCCGTATAATATGTATAGCATTATAAGAGATATAATAAGTATATTAAAAATAATATAAGATTATAATTGCTGGGATTAAAACTGCATCAGAATAAAATGAGTTTCTGACTTTTTACAAATTCATATCTACTATTAATATAATTTAAAAGTTATTTTAAAAAACCACTATAATTATTGATCGGTTTTTATAATATGATTGCTAAATAAATATTAATCGTGCGTCAGTTACTGTTTAGTACAAACAATAGAAAAAATTACTTCGAAACAACAAATTAATAGTTTTCAGCAATGACATGAAACCTAAAAATATAATTTTTTTAATATAGGTTTGCAGATTTGGTACCTGATATCCAAAATAAACTCACATACAATAGCAATGATAAACGTAATGAAAAATTAAACGACCAAGGTATTTCATATTATAACATTCAATATTAATCATATGCCAATATTATATACATGTATCTATAAAAATTACCAGCAAAAAATGTTACAACCGATAAAACCCATCGCCAGAACGCAATCCCCGGGCCAATCAGTGTTGAGAAAAGAGCAAATGAGTCAACGTATGATAAACTTGTTGACAATAGTGGTAAAAATGTAACAATAGTTTCGTATGAATGGTTACGCTTTGCGAGAAATGAATTGTCGTCAAATACAATAAAGTTTGTGTTTTTGTTTTATACCGAAATAATTTTTATTTTAAACTTTTGTTTAATAGAGAAAGTTCTGTCAAAATATACAAAACGCGTTTTAATTATAATGAAACAACATATAACACATTCAATGGTAAACCATTTAATAATAAATTAAAAATTACAATTACAATTACAATTAATTAACATTACATTTCATTTAGCCCAATATATATGCTGTGGTCTCAACAATCTTGGTAACACGTGTTATATGAATAGCGCCCTCCAATGTCTAGTTAATATAGAGTTATTTAATAAATTTATTAATTATTTTAAAACAATTGGCGTTTCGGGCAAAACATCAAAACAAAAACCATTGATTGAATATTTAGCCGAACTCATGGTACAGATGTCAACGTCGCGCGGGCAATCAGTTATTCCCAACTATTTTCGCCGAGAAGTTGGTAACTTATTTTCTAAATATAGTCATTACAATCAAATGGATTGTTCAGAATTTTTGGTCACTATATTGGACCAGTTTCACAAAGAATTGTCTGTAATGAATGACACGAGTCATCGATTGGATGCCGATCGACGTAATAACAATTCAGTTGCAAAACAATCGTTTATTTCGGAAAATTTTCGCGGATTACTGCAACTGACTGT